TGAAGTCAAAAAGTATAAATATATACTCTAAAAGGCACAGTTTGCCTCAGAAATGACTAAAATTCTCATGCTTTAGAAAGGGTAATAATAGATTTCGTAACAGTAAAATACATTAAAATGGTTTAAAAGCATGTTAGATGCTTTTTGACTGGAAAGAAAGAATTGCTAAATGTGGAATTATTTGTCAAAAACTTAGCAAAATGTAAACAAAGTAGTATTTTGACTTCCATACAAAATTATAAATTACTTTAATTGTACTAAATGCAATCGAAGCAAAAATGACTTAGGGAACTGGCCAGTGAATATCTTTTTAGAAACTATTATGGTGTACAAGGAATGAAAAGTTTGTGAGAATTAAAGATAAAACCACTGAGGGGCATAATGGGCCTTTAAGCAAAGTGTTTTGAAAGGAGTATACTAGAGTTTTTGGTCTAGTTTTGAACAATAATTTTATGTTATAATTATGACTGACAATACATACAACAGCATTCATTCGCTAGACTATTAATAAAAACCTTTTATAGTATTTAATAAAATAGAATTAAATTTCTTTCCTACATATTGTAATTCGCCCCCAACTATTAAACACTTTGCTTTTAACTGGTATCGGAATTTATGAATTATGAATGCTTATTATTTATCAATTATTATAATATGCCATGTCATTATATAAACGTCAATTGACAGTTTCTTGTAGAACATATAATTATATTCCCTTCAATTTTGTAGTTTTTTTTTACTTCAATATTGAAATTCATTTTGTCACTGACAAAAATTATAAACTTATTATATCAATTTTGATTAATAAAGATTTAAAACGAAATATTTTTTCATAAAACTCATAAATTTCTTAATGTTAAAATCATGTTGTTTGCATATCCTTAAGAAAAATCCTCGAACATTGGTAACATAGAATGTCTCTTCTAATGAACACAAATGAACAATATGTCTGTAAACATACGAAAATGTCCAGGTGCTGCTACTTTATAAAGGGTTTTACCTGTAAAGCTATGATTTTTGTTAGTGCTATTTGCTCAAAAGGAAATATACCAACATATTTCTTTCATACAAATATTTTTGAAGTTGTTCTTTTTCAAAGTTCAAACAAAATCTTAGGAAGCAAAAATAATTATATCTTTATACACTTTAACGTTTTCCTATGATACTTGTATCAATTGTGAGGCTTTTAGTTATTTCCTATGATATTTGTATCAATTGTGAGGCTTTTAGTTATTTCCTATGATACTTGTATCAATTGTGAGGCTTTTAGTTATTTCCTATGATACTTGTATCAATTGTTAGGCTTTTAGTTATTTCCTATGATATTTGTATCAATTGTGTGGCTTTTAGTTATTTCCTATGATATTTGTATCAATTGTGAGGCTTTTAGTTATTTCCTATGATACTTGTATCAATTGTGAGGTTTTAGTTATTTCCTATGATACTTGTATCAATTGTGAGGCTTTTAGTTATTTCCTATGATATTTGTATCAATTGTGAGGCTTTTAGTTATTTCCTATGATACTTGTATCAATTGTGAGGCTTTTAGTTATTTCCTATGATATTTGTATCAATTGTGAGGTTTTAGTTATTTCCTATGACACTTGTATCAATTGTGAGGCTTTTAGTTATTTCCTATGATATTTGTATCAATTGTGAGGCTTTTAGTTATTTCCTATGATACTTGTATCAATTGTGAGGCTTTTAGTTATTTCCTATGATATTTGTATCAATTGTGAGGTTTTAGTTATTTCCTATGACACTTGTATCAATTGTGAGGCTTTTAGTTATTTCCTATGATATTTGTATCAATTGTGAGGCTTTTTTTGCGATTTAAAGTCACCTACTTGGGAATCTTTGCATTTAATTTCATTTTGCGAAAGCAAATTAGGAAAGTTTGAACAAGCGCAGAGAATTTTCTTTAACTTTACATGATTAAAAAGAACCATGTTTGAGCGATTTTATCTGATTGGGGATAAGTGACCCCATTGCATTATGTTGTAGTCACTGGTAACCAGCTTGAACAACTATTTACGAAATATCGGTGGACAATGCTAACAGTAATTGATAGTGCGACTAAAATACAAAGTTTTTCCGGAAGTAGCAAATGGTTCAAAACTATCGTTCTTAAAGTCTCATCCATGTGAATGTTAGTAATTTTAGTTAAAGTAACGGGGAATCGAGCTCGCAATTTTCGGATCGTGATCCAGCCATTGTTACCACTGGAACATAAGCCAGACATTGTTACCACTGGACGACTGCGCCCGTCATTTAATATCGGGACATTTGGAAAAACAAAGTCACAGTGCAGGTGTGACTAAAAAACAAATTAGAAAAAAATCAACAACAACTACGACAAAACATCGCCTTTAATCCCGCTTTAACGCAGCCTAATATGTTTTGTCAAACAAAAGTTTAACGCCCCTAATTGATATATATTTATAATACCTGTTTATTCTTGTTTATTTATAGATTGTTTTCTTTTCATACTAAAAATGTGCAACCTTGTATTTTTAGTATTGATCCTCATTAAGTCCTTATTAAAATACATTTTTTTCACGTATACTATAATAAAGACTTTTAGGTACGGGCTTATCGCGCAAAAATGTCCTCATTTTAAACTTTATAATCTCCGTAGGTAGATTTACTATTTTATCCTTTAAAACGAATTTAATGACCATATAAATATAAACTAGCATAAATATGTTTGTTTTGAAATTTACACCCCCCCCCCCCTTACAAGGGAGTAAAGTGGTAACAGCAAATTAACCGAATAATAACTGTTGTTCTCTTCTGTCAAGCTGTTGAGGCATGGTGAAATTTTTCAATAAATCATTTTTTTCTTCCATAGCCTTGTCTAATTAATGTATTAGTGTAACACAAATAGCGGGGAGACGCTCATTAGGGAAACATAATAGCTTACCAGGTCGTTGAATTTACGATTTCTGGCAAACGACAGTTTCGTGGGGGTTGGAAGGAAAGGACACTAGTATAAGAAACTGAAATTTTTCTCAACATTCGGAACACTTCTAGTTCACTTACATACGGACCAGCGAAATTCATCGTTTTTGTTCCCATATAAATAAAACAGAAATATAAAAGTATCCTTAGATAAAAAGAAAACGTATTGAAGTTTATGACGTTTTATGGCTGATTTCCTGACTGTTTTTTATTACATATACTTACTTAAAAAATCTGCTAAAACTCACTCAATATCAGCTGAAGTAATGCACGGTCACGAAAAAGCCTTTATTCAGCTATTTTAATGGACGAAACGAAAGCGTTAACGGTTTGTTTATAGTTAAAAGATTGTGACCATAAAATTAATATTTCATATATTTGATAAACTCTCAGTAAAGATAGTTATCAAACCAATGCTGAAGTATGTAAAGTTTCGAAGCTTCGAATGTATAAAGTTATGTACATGTGTGAATTTCGGGTGAAAAATACAGACGTTAAGCATTAATTGCTTTAAAAGTTGTAGATAGGGAAATATAATAATGATCTATGAAAACCTAAAAAAGAAAGAAAGAAAGAAAGAAAGAAAGAAGAAAGAAAGAAAGAAAGAAAGACAGAAAGAAAGAAAGAAAACAAGAAAGAAAGACATAAGAAAGAAATATTGTTTATAAAGATAGAGAAAGGAAGAAATAATCAAAGAAAGGAAAAATATAGAAAGAAAGAAAGAAAAGAATAAAGAAAGAAAGAAAGAAAGAAAGAAACAGTTCCTGTCCTAAAACCGCCAAAAACTTAACCTATAATTTGCACAATTTTTGATTCAATATTGTGTGGATCTAGCTTTTTGAGTTGTAGATAGGGAAATATTATTTTGATCTATGAAAACCTAAAAAAAGGAAAGAAAGAGAGAAAGAAAGAAAGAAAAAAAAAGAAGAAAAAAAGAAAGAAAAAAAAGAAAGAAAGACAGACAGAGGAAAGAAAGATCATTCATAAAGATAGAGAAAGAAAGAAATAAACAAAGGAAGAAAAATTTTAGAAAGAAAGAAAGGAATAAAGAAAGAAAGAAATAAAGAAAGAAAGAAAGAAAGAAAGAAAGAAAGAAAGAAAGAAACAGTTCCTGTCCTAAAACCCCCAAAAACTTAACCGATAATTTGCACAATTTTTGATTCAATATTGTGTGGATCTAGCTTTTTGAGTTGTAGATAGGGAAATATTATTTTGATCTATGAAAACCTAAAAAAAGGAAAGAAAGAGAGAAAGAAAGAAAGAAAGAAAAAAAAAAAGAAAAAAAGAAAGAAAAAAAAGAAAGAAAGACAGACAGAGGAAAGAAAGATCATTCATAAAGAAAATAGAGAAAGAAAGAAATAAACAAAGGAAGAAAATTTTTAGAAAGAAAGAAAGGAATGAAGAAAGAAAGAAAGAAAGAAATAAATAAATAAAGAAAGAAAGAAAGAAAGAAAGAAAGAAAGAAAGAAAGAAAGAAAGAAAGAAAGAAAGAAAGAAAGAAAAGAAAGAAACAGTTCCTGTCCTAAAACCCACCAAAACTTAACCGATAATTTGCACAATTTTTGATTCAATATTGTGTGGATCCAGCTTTTTGAGTTGTAGATAGGGAAATATAATAATGATCTATGAAAACCTAAAAAAAGGAAAGAAAGAAAGAAAGAAAGAAGGAAAGAAAGAAAGAAAAATGAAAAAAAGAAAGATAGAAGAAAGAAAGATTGTTAATAAAGATAGAGAAAGGAAGAAATAAACAAAGGAAGAAAACTTTTAGAAAGAAAGAAAGAAAGAAAGAAAGAAGAAAGAAAGAAAGAAAGAAAAAAAAGAAAGAAAGAAAATTTGGAAAGATAGACATAAAGAAAAAAAAATAAAAGAAGAAAGAAAAAAACAGAAAGAGAAAGAAAAAGTTCCTGTCCTAAAACCCCAGAAACTTTAACCGATAATTTGCACAATTTGTGATTCAATATTGTGGACCCAGTCAATATATTTCTCCCGGAATTTGTTTAACACAATAAATGAACGAATGCATAAAATACCAGTCTTACCTAAACTCCGTACATTCCACGGTCGTGCAGATAACTGGGTACAATTAAATCCCGTATTCAACTTTTATCAAACAAATAATGATTATGAAGTTCGCAGTTTATACACTCTCCAATTTATATCTGTTTATTTATAAAACTCAACGGTTATTGAACATGTCCCTATGTTTCTGACTCATTGTTTATACATAGCTTCTTTTCATATAAAAAAAACCCACCACCGTTCAGTTCTTTGTAAATGCAGACTCTTAGATTCTATAAACATAAAACTTTAATATTTATTCATCAAGCACATATGCCCGATACGTTTGCACGTTTTGAACCCCGCTGCACGTTTTTCACTTTTTCACTGCAAGAAAGAAATTTTGAACTCGCTATATATCACTGTAATCACCTTAACTAATTCAATGATTTAGTTTTTTTCTGTCACTTTTTCTCCGCGACTATTAAGTACAGCATGCGAGTTTAGTTGTACAAGTGTATTTGTTTCAATTATACGTTCCTAGGTATAAAGTTGAACATGTTTCACAAGTAATACAAATGTTTAATAAAATTTTAATCATTCTACCACCATGGTTCATATCACTCGTATTCATTAAATTTGTATCGCTATTCAATAGTTACTACCAATCATACGTGGAACACCGCTTCAACTTTCTGTCAAACTTTAAAGTCCGTATTCATTCCATTCATCTATATGTATTTTACGCTTTGTGGCAAAAATCGTCGTCTATTGAAGTTGTTGAATTCCCTCCAACAAATTTTGTCATTTTTTTCAGTTCGTTTATTACTTATAAAAAGATAGGACAATGCTATCAAATCGATTGAATCGCGGTTTATTCCCTTTTGATAAGAGCAAGTAGACTATGCACTGATCTATTGCAGATTGCTATGATTTACATAGTATACAAATATCCGAAGAAAGTGTTAACTTTAGCAAAGATTAATACGATAATTCGTCAGCACGGTTTGGTTTGGTAATCCATTTAAACGCCTAGTTTCACTAAAAAAAACCTTTGTTTTTTTCAACACGTATAATTAAAGCCAGTGTCCAAATAATTATATCTACAGTATACATTGTTTACTTGCTTAAGAAGGTAACGATCTTACGTCAGATCTCTTTTTCCTTCTTACAAAATAATGTCCGCCTTTCAAATGATTGTTTTGCCGGCTCGCCACGGCGAGCCGGTATTACGGTAGGATTTTACTGAGAAACAACCTAAAACTCCGAAGCTATCCAAAAATTTAATCGAAGCTTGGCTTCCAGCTTTCTACAAAATTTATCTATCAGGGCTAGGATCCAAAATTATTTAGCCAATCAAATTTAATCTTACATAGCGTCAAAAAACATTCAATTTTCACGCCATTTTTAAAAATCAGCAAGTATTGTTTTGAGCGCAAAGATATAATGATGATTAAAATCTTTGTCTTTATGAATTCTTTTCAATAAATCATATTTACACTGACTTCTGATTTAGCGATTTCACCTGTTTTCTCTGTAGTAAGATTTCGTTTGGTTAATTAACATAAGTGTACATCTGGTTCTGTGCTTTTTTTATTTTTCCTTTTTTCCGGTCATTTTATCCTTTCCGGTATTTAGTGTATGTATTTACTGGCCGGGATCCGGGACGCCCGGGATCCGGGATCGTATAAGATATGGAGGAAAAACTTAATGAACTATATTTGTGTTGATTGTTGTCGTAATGGAAGGCCATTAAACGTTAATTTTTTTATTGTATATAATGAACGTTAAATTAATTTAACTTAGAATATAGATATATTTAGAGCTATTTATTAACAAACTTAAAATGCGGAAATCACAATACTTATAATTATATGCCTAATCAATTGGAAAAATCAAAGACTATTTTCTTGAATTGGTCAAATCCCGGGATCCCTGTATGTTTTAAAACGATCCCAGCTTTTCTGAAAACTTTACACTTGAACTGGTCAATCCGTGAGATCTATTTACATTTTAATACGATCCCGGCTTTTCTGAAAACTATATTCTTGAACTGGTCAATTCCCGGGATCCCTATATGTTTTAATAGGATCCCGGCTTATCTGAAAAACATCTTCTTAGACTGGTCAATTTCCGGGATCCCTATATTTTTTAATAGGATCCCGGCTTTTCTGGCTGAATTGATTGACAACTTGTGTTTACTTTAGGACTTGTGCCTCTCATTCCAATACTAAATAACATACATGTATTACAACTTAATTTTGTATAAAGAGACATCTCTATGAAATCTACCTATCTAACATTTTGTGGTCAAGGTCAACAGGCCATATAGTAAATGTGCATAGACATAGGTTCTTCATTCAATCCGTTTACATGCACCTTCATATATACTCATACTCATCTTGGTTAAACTGAGAGAACTTTATATGTCACTTTCAGTCAATGAGTTTAAGATTTTGAATTTACTGGCCCGAATTCCAGTTTTGAATTTATTCTACTAAATAATTAACAAAATTTTCTTAAATTTACACTGGCCTGAACTTATATACACTGGCCATCGGGCACCGGGCCAGTGTTGACTTCACTTTTATTTTGATGTTCGCTGAAGTCTCTTCAGCTAACTGAACTGTCATTTTTACATTTAAACACATCCCTTGAAAAAAATTACGAAGCGAGTCGCTACTAGCTTTTTTAAAAGCTAACCTTGTGTATGAATTTAAATAGAATTCAATACGTATACAATCGTAAAAACACCTGTTAAGTTTAACATTTTCACCCGTAATCTTCTGTAAAGTGCACATTTAAAGTTACAAACTTTATGACTATAAGAACCAGATCTTTTTTGGCAAAGTATCCAACATTGAATTCAATACCAAATAAAATATCTCTTATATAATACTAAAATATTTAAACAGCTATTTCTTTAATCGTCCATATAACAAATTTAAAACCGCGCTCGCGTTTATTATAATGCTTTGCTATAAATCAAAGCGCTCGAACATTTAGCGATTTTGATGTTTAAAACTAGGATTTTTATAGCTTTAAACTTCTTCGTGCCCCTCGATCTGTCACTTTGATGTAAAATAATATAAAATAACGTCGGGTTTTTCCTCTTCAGATATCGAAAACCTGTTCAATGTCTCCATACATTCAACCGGTAGGCGAGCACGGTGTTGAACAAGTAAATATAGCTAAAGTAAATACCACTATAAATATTTGCTCTCATAATGTCAATACAAGAGCAACAATACCGTGTAGTGACCCGAGGAGAAAGGACTAGTGTAGGATGATCGAACATAATCAATCCCGCCCCGGGTGTGATATCATTATTGTTTTAGAAAATAATTAGTTACAATGTTTCAAATTTATAATGGCTTTTATAGTAAAACGCACAATAAAATCAGTGGGCATGAAATATGCATTCACAGTATATTTATGAATGTCGTTTAGCCATAAAACATACATCATAGAGATCATTCTGGTGACAGAAAACATAAATTCCTTCTCTAATAATTTCATGATTCATTTCTATTTGATTCTATTCAGATTCTAATAGAACGACCATGCCTTGTATAACGCAACAATGAAACGCTGATTTTACAGTGATGAGAAATATACCTACAGAGATATAAATCGCAGTTCGCATACAATACAATACAATACAATACAATACAATACAATACAATACAATTTTACTTAATTATTCAAAATTTATTCATAATTCATTGCATTCGGATCACCCTGCCCCCAATTATTCAAAATCGCCCTTATCCGAAATTTTACGGAATTGACCGAGAAGTTACTATTCGTAAAGGGATTTTAGTCAGTTAGGGAACTTAACGATTGTATTGGGGTGATTGTATGTGTGCCTTATCATTTTGATTTTAAAATAAATAATTTTTATTTATTTTTTATTAATTTTCTTTTGTGCGGTATGTAGAGGAACGATCAATCGCGATTTTTTTTCTATCAAAAAATCTTTCAAAAGGAATAAAATTATTACCTTAAAATTTCATAACTATCTTCATGATACTTTGTCATTGAAAATGCTAATAATTGTTGGTATTGTAAAATTAAATGTGGTGCGTTATTTTAAATATGAAGATTATACCTCTGTATGTATTTTATTAAATCATCGTCATACTATTCACATTTTTATCATTTGATCGTTAACCTGTTAACAAGTTAATCACTATTTCGTAATTGTATTTAATGAACCAATATTCGTACGTTCGTGTTCGTAAAGTTTAAAATGTCGTTTTGCAATATATATATAGTTTTAAATCTTCATGCTCCTCTATTGTTGTATTAGCCTGTTATTTTTGTGCTGGTTTTTATTAACAACATTTTGCTATATTTACAGATAAGTATGCAATCGATATAATTATCAAATTATTATCGCGATTATTACTAATACACACGAGATATTATCCGGTAAATATCGACTGTCAGCCGCATTTGACCACGTATTAAATCTAATTTTACGAAAATCAATGCAACTTATACGTTTACATTGTTTCCAAATATCAAAAAAAGAACATTAATACCTTATAGCGACGTTGTGAAATCCACTGACGAAGTTGTCTCCCTTGAGGTGACTTATTATCTACATATGACGAAGTTTTCTCCGAATTTGTCTCCCTTGAAAGTAAAATGTGTATCACCCCTTGCCATGATATCCTCTGCCATGTTTCATTAATGTCTGTGTGAAATATTCTTCTGAATTAATTAAATATTCAACAAATACGACTTTACGAGCGTAGAATTCACGTGTATAAAAATCGGCATATGATACACAATGAATTAAAAATTACAGCGTTAAACAGAAAAGGCAATAAGCCATGGGCTTTGAGTATTGCTGAATAACCCTTTCTCTCTGGCGCTTGAAGCTTTTAGTACTATAACTCGATATCTTACAATTGTTTCACAGGGGTTGGGTTTGGCAACATTCGCTGCCGCGGCAGCGAGTATTTTGTGGGTGTGACTAATCAGTGATGTTAAACTGTCTGTTATAAACCCTGAACTATAAATAGCATGCAGTGTTAACCTGCAGAGAGAAAGTAAACAAAAACGGCTGATTTTACATAGGAGAGGTTTAATGAATGTTTTATATAACTCACAGATTAATTAAAGACATTATTATTTTTGAAGTCAGTTGTTTTTCCTTTTTTTACTGGAATGCTGTATGTGTCCTTCATCAAGTCAGACAATTATATTCAAATCCAAAAGATGTGACTTACATAGGAACAACCTGCTAAAAATGTTCTTGACAGGATTTTAAAATATTTTTAAGCTGTTAATGTATAAAATTTTCATGCATATGCAACATTTAGTTTCATTAACATTTTTGACTACAAGATATTTACAACAAAATAAAGTGTAAATAAAATATACCTGGAAGTTACTTTTACTGTTTTCATGAAGGTTAAACCATTCAAATTACAAGTTAAATCAGTATTTTGAAATTTAAAAAAAAAATCATATATTAATAGATTATTGTAAATTTGTTGGATTTGATAAAACATGTCAGTAAAAGTTATTGTTTTTTTCTTATCATGTATTCAGCATTCCAATGCGTCGTCTGCTGAAAATGTCCCTCCCTGAAATATACATCGTCTGCTACAAATCTCTCTCCCTGAAATAAACACTGCCACGTGCTTCTGTTTACTACTGAAGGTTTATGACCTGTAATGATCACATGGCTCCTCCCAGGGAAATTCAAATTTCAAATTTGACAGCCAGTATTTTTTTCCAGAAATACACTTTACAAAGTTATATTTTGAATAATTTTGGTCAATCTTTGTCAAAAATATCTATGCCTACAAACATGCCAAGTGTTGTTTTAATGCATTTGGTAATTAATCTTAAATCTTTGAAAAAGGGTCCCTGAAGTGAAGCATGCATAAAATTAATAAGAAACCTGCCCTAGCGCCATCTGCTGGCTTTTATAGTCCAGTTGGGCCTTTATACAATGTTTAATGGATTATTTGTGTCGGTGGTTATCTGTATAAATATTAACATTGTTTCAGGATTTCGCGATACCATTTTGTCTATTGTCCACTTTAACAATGGGATGGCACGTGTAATCTATATATCCCATTAGTTGATTCATTACTTCTACAAATATTTGCACAGTGTGTGCCACTTCTGATATTAATTGTTTT